ATCGGGGTAGGTCCATGTGGCTTCTCAGTGATATCTTGCAGGAAGTGAGCCTTACCAGCTGAAGCAGGGAAATGGCTACGGCAGCTGCACCCTGGTCCAACTATCAGAAAGCAAGAGACCTGAGAACTAGAAATGTGGGGCTCACTTTATCTCTCTGCCCTTCAATTGATCCCACATGTGTTTATCAGCTAGGTTGGCACAATAAACCTTAACTATCTCATACAGAAAAGGAAGAAGTTTACCAACAACTTCAGTCTGAAATTGATTAAACATGCAATCAGTACACATTGATAATTATTAGTGATTGGAATAAAAAAAAATGGAAACAAAGAGAAAGGAATAAGTAGTTGGAAAATATGACCTTGATGAGAGAAATGAAGTGGGATATCACATGATAGAATTTTGAAAGACCAATGACTTCTTCAACGTAGATGTCTTTTTTCAACACCACAACAGTTGGATGTAAAAGTGGCTTCTCTAGATGAAATGTACCGAATTCAAGTTGAATACATTTGTGGGAAGAGACTATGGAGAAACAAAATATCACCAGCTAAAACCAGACAATGGGATGACTGTGGAACAGACAATTAGTTGCTCATTTATAAGTTCAGGTTGAAAATGAAGAAAATAAAACCAAGTTCATGGGAGCCAAAATACGACCTTAAGTATATCCAACATGAATTTCTAGAACATAGTTGACACATTGAACACTGAACAATGGCAGAAAATTTGGGAGGATATCAAGAACACCTTACATGCAGAAAGCAAATGTCATGTAAAAGACAGGAAAGAAAGAATGAGGACCTGATGCCGGGGGCTTGAGCGGAGAGCAAATGTTTTGAGAATGATGAGAGCAATGAATGCACAAATGTGCTTTACACAACTGATGTATGTATGGATTGTGATAAGAGTTATATGAGCCCCTAATAAAATGATTAAAAAGAAAAGAGAGACCCCAAAAAATAAATAAATAAAGGTGAATGTCAGAAAAGACTCTGAAACTTGCTTTTGGCTGTAGATCAGCTGAGACGAATGGGAAACGATGAAGTTAAGGAGCTGAACAGAAAATTTCAAAGTTCCAGAAGACAAATTAAAATATTAAAATGAAATGTGCAAAAACCTAGAGTTAGAAAAGAAGGAAGAACATGCTTAGCATATCCTAAACTGAAAGAACTAGTGGATAACTTTAAGCCTCAAGATGCAATATGGAAAGATTCTATGGGTAAAATATCGAATCTTTCAAGAAGCATTAAAGGAAGATTGCAAGAATACACAGTTACTATATTAAAAAGAACTAGTCGACATTCATTCCTTTCAAGAGGTATTATGTAATCCAGAACCACTGGCACTGAATGAAGAATCCAAGCTGCCCTGAATGCATTAGCCTAAAACAAGGCTCCAGGAATGGATGCACTACCAATTGAACTGTTTCAACTTCTGAAGCACTGGAAGCACTCAGAGATATGTGTAAAAAATCTGAACGACAGCTACTTGACCAATTGACTGGAAAAGATCCTTATTTATATGTACTCATTCCAAAGAAAGGTGACCCAACAGAATGTGAAAATTATAGAACCATGACCTTAATATCTCATGCAAGTAAAATTGTGCTGAATATCATCCCACAGCAGTTGCAGCTGCATATTGACAAGGAGCTGCCAGAAAATTAGGCCAGATTCAAAAGAGGACACGGAACAAGGAATATCACTGCTGATGTCAGATAGTTCTTGACTGAACACACAAGACACCAACAAGGTTTCATTGTATTTTATTGACTGTACAAAGGCATTTAACGGTGTGTGCCATAACAAACTATAAATAGCCTTGAGAAGAATGGGAATTGCAGAACACTGCATTGTACTTCTGAGGAACTTATACATGGATTAAGAGACAACTGTGGGAACAGAATAAGCATCATACAGTGTGGTTTAGAGTCAGGAAAGGTGTGCATCAGGATTGCATTCTTTCGCCATACTTGTTCAATCTGTATGCTGAGTAAATAATCAGAGAGCTGAAAGTGAAGCGGACTTGAACCATTTGCTCATGAAAGCAAGGATTGCAGCCTTGTATGGACTAAAACTCAGTGTAAAGAAAAAAAGATCCTACACCTGGACCAATGGGTAACATTATGATAAAAGGAGAAAAGAATGAAGTTGTCATGAATGTTCCCTTGCGTAAATCCTCAGTTAATCAAAGGGAAGATCAAATTGGATAAATCTGTGGCACAAGGCTTCTTTAAAGTGTTGAAAGGCAAGGATCTCACTTTGAGGATTAAGGTGCTCCTAACCCAAACCATGACATTTTTCTACTGTCTCATATGCTTGTGAAAGTTGGACATTGAATAAGGGAGTCCGAAGAAGAATCAATTCATTTGAATTGTGATACTGACAACGAATGTTGGATATATCATGCACTGTCAAAGAGCAAACAAATCAGTGTCTTGGAAAAAGTCCAACCAAAGTGCTCCTTAAAAGCAAATATGGTGAAACGTTGACTCATGTACTTTGAAAATGTTATCAGGAGAGACCGATCTCTTGAAAAAGATGTAAGTTTGGTAAAATAGAGAGGCAGTGAAAAAGAGGAAGACTTGGACAAGATGGATGGACACAGTGGGCCCAACCATAAGAACAATTGTGGGGAGGAAACAAGACCTGAAAGTGTGTCATTTTGTTGTACATAGGGTCTCTAGGAATCAGAACAGGGTTGATGCCACCTAGCAACAAATTAAGTTCAAGTCTGGCAAGTCACTAGTGACCAGCAACGTTCTTTCAGGTTACATTGCTGTTCACTGAACCTAGAATGCTTCCGAATATATAGATGAAGTATTTAGTAGGCTTCCCAACTATTTCACACCAAAGGAAACTGTGCCTAACTAGCTAGCATCATAATGCTACAACTCAATATTTTGATTACTAGTTTGCCTTTTCTGTCCATTATAGTAACAACATCAACTTTGTTTTATAAATAAAATTTTATTGTGAACTCAGTGGAGGTTTCCAAGTCAGATTTTCATTTTTCCAATCAAGAGTTGAAACGACTTACCAAATCTCCCAGTAACTTGCCCTGTACCTCACCTTCTTTTGTCCATCTCTTTCTTGATGGTGAGAGAAAAGCATGACTTTCTACCCTCATAAAAAGGTACAATCTGGAAAACTCACAAGGTCCATTCTATTCTGTCCTATACAGTTGCTATATTGAATATTTAGTTATTTTGAACCAGTTTTGATTCCAAACATAGCATTCGATATACTGTAGAGAAAATATTTTATTCTTGTATTTATATACTTATTCTGTAATTAAGGCATGCATATCTGTATTTTTCATTTGTTATAAAGGTCAAGTGATGAGTATTATTACATATCTTAACTCACAACTTCTTTGTCAAGGTCTCTATATTTATGATGTATATAGCTTTATTAATAGCAATGGATAGTTTAATAGCAATAAATCCTTATGTATGCAAAACATTTTATAGTCAACAACATTCACAGATATTTTAATTATTTCTAACTACTATGATTGATCATGTTTCAAAAGCACAAAAACTTTATTACAGTTGGAAAGTCAGGTATAATGATACCCATTTTATAGCAGGATATGAGGAACAAAGAAGCTAAAAGGGATAGCCCAGATCACACACATTATTTTCAGAGTTGAATTAGAATTCATGTCTTTTATTTATCGGTTACCCCTAGAAAACACGTGTGTTTGAAGCTCCTAATGTCAATTGCAGATTGACTAAGACTGTAAGTCGCTCCTTACCTTACAAGGGAAAGTTGGAGCTCACTGAGGTTAAACAATACACACAATGACAACACAAGAATATCAGGTCAGGATTAAAACCGGGATTCTCTTTATTATAACTGAAGACTCCCTTCCTCTCTTATCCCTACAATTGTGCTGTATGACGTCAGGGACGCTTTCAAAGAAATGGTTTGCCCTTTTTGACTCTTGAATAAATTCTTTACTTGAAATTGTGTATGTTTAATGGCTTACTCTGTTTATTGTATTCTTGTAAATGATTGGTAGCTCATTTAATTCCAGCCCCTCAGAATGTTGTACATATTTCATTATTTATAAATGTGCCTGCTTTTAATATAAAATCTAGTTGTCAAAAAGACTCATAAGAACTATGGAAAAGAAAGATGTCCTTTTGTTTTCAGCTATAATAAAACAGTAGCACTTCGGTTTCCTGTGCTGGCCAAGTCTCCACTAAGCTCCATGGACAGCCATCTTTTTAAAACCTGAAAGACTTCATTTTATTGAACAACCCAGCTACTGCCCATGACTTTCTTCAGAGCTCCCACTACCTCCTTGTTCCTCAAGCTGTAGATGAGAGGGTTCAGCATGGGAGTGAGGATGGTATAGAACACGGAGAGACCTTGATCCAGCTCTGGGGTGTGGGAGGAGCCAGGTGTCATATACACCACTGTGCTTGGACCCAAGTAGAGACTTACCACAGTCAAATGGGAAGAACACGTGGCCAGGGCTTTTTTTCTTCCTTCATGAGAGTTCATTCTAAGAACAGTGAGGAAGATGCGAATGTAGGAGGCTGTAATTAGAGATAGCGGCACAGTAATAAAAATGATGCTCATAACCATTATAACCATTAGGTATCCTAAGGTATCCTCACAGGAGAGCATCAGAATGGCAGGCATCTCACAGAAGAAGTGGTTGATTTCTCGGTTTTCACATGTGTTGAAATGCATTGTGTAAATTGTCTGTGCCAAGGAATTCAGCATACCTCCAATCCAGGACCCAACAGCCATCTGGATGCACACCCTGGGATTCATGATGGTTGGATATCTCAGAGGATTACACACAGCCACATAGCGATCATAAGCCATGAGAGTCAGCAGGATGCATTCTGCATCAGCTAACATCAGCCAGAAGAACATCTGAGCACCACAGCCAACACGTGAAATGGTTCTGCTCCCAGAGAAGAAATTAGTAGCCATCTTGGGTACTGTGCTTGAAACATAAGCCAGGTCGATGAGAGAGAGCTGACTTAGCAGAAAGTACATGGGCGTGTGGAGCCTAGAGTCCACCCAGATAAGGAGGACAAGGGTAGAATTTCCTACAACTGCAATGAAGTAGATGAGAAGGATGATGGAGATGAGAATGCTGGGGTGTCTGTTACCAGGGAAAAGTCCGAGGAGGATAAAATCTGACTGCCATGTTGCATTTCCTCTCTCCATAACTCAAGAATTCTGGCTAAACAAGCAAACAAAACATTGGGGAGAAACCATCCAAATTATTACATTTTATAATCTGGAGATTATTTTAAAAATTATTTAAGTCAAATAAATTTCTTTCTATTCAGAATCTAGGAAACCAATTCTTCACTTTATTTATACATTTATCTATCATATCCCAATATTTGAAGCCTACATATACAATAGTTTTACATATTAAGCCACAGAGCTATTCTAAGAATCAGAAACTATTAAACTGGAAAATTTCTATAAGACCTCTTGCTTATGCCTGTTTTATATATGAAGAAATGTAGAAGTTATACAACATGTTGTACATAATGAATTTCACTGAATTGTACAAACAAAAAATGCTGAAATGGCAAGGGTTTTGTTAAACATATGAGAACAAGAGTGAAGAAAATGCTGTAGATCTGATTTTGGTGATGACTGAACAGCTCTTCTTGATGTAACTGAACTATTAAATTGCATGATATGTGAATTATATACCAATGGAACTGTTTTTAAAAGAAAAAGTAGATAGATGCCTAGATGATAGATAGTCATAAAAAACTAGTTGTCATCAAGTCAAAGTCTGACTCATGGGAGACTCATGCAGAACTATGTTCTCTGAAAATAAGCTCTGGTCTTTCAGAAGTCCATCTTTAGATAGAATGAAGCTGCCAATCTTGTAGTTAACAGTTGATGTTTACGTATTTGAGCCAACATCCCAACTATATTTGAGCCCATTTTTTGGAGCCATTGTGTCAATCCATCTCATTGAAATATTTTTATTTTTCAATTACCTGCTCCTTTACCAAGCCTCTTGTCCTTCTACAAGGACTCATCCCTAACATGTAAGAAGTATATGAGACAAATCACATCTTCCTTACTCAAAGGAATATGTGGAGGAATCTAAAAAAATGATGCCTATTTGTTTTTCGATGTGAAGGGGATAGTGCATTTGGAATTCTTTCCACCAAGACAGACGGTTAATCAAGCTTTTATTTAGAAGTTCTGAAAAGATTGCATAACACTGTGTGACAAAAAAGGTCTGATTTGTGGCAGATGAGGGACTGGTTTTGCCACCATGACAATGCACCTGCTCATGCAGCCATTTAACAGAGATGGAATTCTGGAATAAAACCGCATGCCTTTTTTGCCCCATGAACCTTACTCACCTGACCTACTCTGTTTTGTTTCCACTAATGAAGAGGGACTTGAAAGGACAGCAATTTGACAACACAGAAGAGGTGAAGAAAAAAATGAGGGAGGTGCTGTCAGCCATCCAAACAGATGAGTTTGAAAAATGTTTCCAAGAATGGAATTTCAGATTTGACAAATGTATTGTGTGTAACAGAGAGAACTTTGAAGGAGGTGGTAAGGTTTTTTTGTAAAAAAATTAAATACATAGCTCTGAAAAACATTCTGGTATTTTTGATACCCCCTTGTATGTTGGCCAAACATCTTCCAAGGAAGATTTATTTGTTCTTCAGGCAATTCATGGTACATTCAATGTTCCTCAACAACACCATAATTCAAAAACAGCAATTCTTCCTTAGTTATCCGTATTCCTTGTCTTGCTTTCACATGCATTTGAAGCAATCAAAAATACCATAGACTTGCATGTTAGTCCTCAAAGTGACATATTTAGTCTTTAACACTTTAAAGAGGTCTTTTACAGTAGACTTACCCAATGCAATGCAACATTTGATTTGATTTTTACTGCTGCTTCAATGTGTTTTGAATATGGATCCAAGTAAATACTTCAAAATTTCAATAATCTCTTTTGTTGTATTGGTAGTGATGTATAATCTATACTGAAGGCTATAATCTTTGATCTTCAGCAGTAAGTGCTTCGAGTCATCTTGTCTTTCAGTCAGCAAGATTGCGTCATCTACATATCTGACTGTCGATGAGTCTTCTTCCAATCCTGATTCCAGGTTCTTCTTCATATAAATTAGCTGCTCAGATTATCTGCTCAAATTATACATTTAATAAGTATGCTGAAGGAATATAACCCTGGCCACATCTTTTCTGATTTTAAACACATAGTATCCTTTTGTTCTACTTAATCACATTTAATTGCTCTAGAATTTCCATTCTTTTCAATGTTATCCATAATTTGTTGTGATCTACACAGTCAAATACATTTGACACAAAATAAGCATATTTCTGGCATTGTATGCTTTCAGCCAAAATCCATCTGTAATAAATGATACATCTCGCTCTACATCTTCTGAATCTGGCTTGAATTTCTGACAATTCCCTCTTAAGGCATTGATGCAACCAGTTTTTATTTCTCATTAGTAAGTTGTTACTTTTACGTGATATTAATATTTTTCAATAATTTTGGCATTTGGTTAAATCACTAATTGTTTGAGTGGGCACAGATATGAATGTGTTCTACCTGTTGGCTAAGTAACTGTCTTCCATATTTCTTGGCATAGACATGCAAGCACTTGCAGCATTGCATCTGTATGTTGCAACATCTCAAGCGGTATTCTACCAATCCTGGAGTCTTCAGTGCAGCCTGGACTTTGTGCTTCAGTCTCATCACGTCTTCATCAGATGTTACCTCCTTACCTTTTTTTTTTAATAAGGTTTTTTTGTTGTTGTTTTTCCATCAGCAACTTTATTGGTCTTTTTCTTACTAATGCAGTTTTTAATTTTCTTAAAGCTTCTTTAAGGGCTCTGTCTGTAGGGAAATCTATGAAGATTTTCCCTTAGGAACCATACAAATCAATTGTCATAATTTTCTGAACTGGAGTCTTTGCCTTGAATTTAACTGGCCAAGCAGATCCTCTTGGAATCCACTGTTTTTATTGGACCCTGTTTTGAAGGCACTCTAAGAAGACTAAGACAAGTGTATAACTGACAGGAATTTCCTGCAGATTTCACTGCCCAAAGAAACATAATTAAACACTTTGTTTTTGGGGGGAAAGATCCTATAGCTATGAACTGGGGTCCCACTACCTATACTTGTTTGAATGATCCTTTGGCATATATATATCTTACCAAAATAAAAAAAATTAAGTTTAAAGTAAACGCAGTTTCAAATAGCAAAATACTATGTGGGCATGTTATAGCCTCAAAATTAGATATATTGTGTCAGAATAAAATAATGCCATGTTTTCATCCACTTATATTGCATATGCTGCTAATATTTATAGTTTTAATAAAATCTGTATGATCATAAACTATGGGTATCTGAACAAAACTACCAACTTCCTACTGGACAGCTCATGAGCTATACACATCTTATTTCTCTAACTATTCAATATGTAAATAAGGACATTTTATGTTTAACGATGGGATAAATCAAGACAGAGATCCTGACTAGCATCCTATAATAAGAGGGATTAATTTTTAGCTATCTTCTTCATGATTATTGTCACTTGATCACCATGACTAGTCAATGTAGTCTATTGAAGTTTTAATGGCTGGCATATTTTACTTGATCCATTTGAATGCATTTATTGATTCTTAATGATCAGCCACTTTCACAGGCTTGAGAGTTTTAACTATTTAAAATGTATTAGTGGACAGAAATCCATCCAGTTTTTATCAAATTTAGCAGCAAAGAAGGATTTCTTAAAATATTTGGATACAATTATAGCTGAATTTAGAATTTTTTTTAGGTAAAACTTTGAGTACTTGAAGTATTTGGAGCAGACAATTGATTTCAGTAGTGTGTAGCAGCAGGAGACTCCTCAAACTGATTTTCTCTAATTGCTCATGCTATCCAATCTTCTAGCCACACTTCTTTACTCCCAGCAGTTTTCTTTCAGTCAATCCATGCTCAAGGCAGCATCCTCAATACTTTTGTAGTTGGGGCCATTGCTGTGTCCCCTAGACTCGTTATTGCAATGTCTGTCCCATTGTGCTGTCAATGCCTTTTTTATTATCACTACTACAACCTGTATGATCTCTGAGAAAAGACACCATATCTTTGTATTTCCAGACCACACTAAAGCATGACCCTTGAGTCAATTCCTCATCATAGTGACCTTATAGGAATTATGAAAACTGTCCCACATGGTGTTCAGAGCTATACATCTCTGGGGAAGCAGACCGTCACGTCTTTCTCCACAGAGTAGCTGATGGGTTTGAAATTGCTGACCTTAGGTTAGCAGCCAAATGCTGAGCCACAGCACCTCCAGGGATCCTTTCCATATTCCCAGTCCCTGTCGACATATTTTATGCACAGGAAATTATATTATTTAAATTTAATGCAGCTATTACCCCCACGATTCAAGTATAACCAGAATATTCTTTGAGAGAGGTCATCTCAGACCCTCGACAAGATGGACTGACACAATGGCTGAAACTATGGGCTCAACACATGAACACGTGGAAAGATGGCACGGGACTAGGCAGTGTTTCCTTCTGTGGTAAATAGAGTCACTACAAGTCAGAAGGGACTGAAGAGCACCTGTCAACAACAAACCCCTGTGATATGCTCCTTCAGCTAATCCAATGGCTGACTGCGTAGAGTATCATAAATCAACAAAAATGTCCTAAGATCCCTTCTGACTGTTTGAATAAATGTATTTGTAGTGTTTGCCCCTGCCTGCCTGTGGGCAACTCACAGTGCTTTTTAAAACATAAACTTACATATTAGAATGAAAGGAATGTAATGTAGGGGAGAAAATGGAATAAAATGGCACATTTGTTGATGCTGTGAAAAACACTCTTTTCAATGACTTATCATTCTAATAAAATATATGATTTCATTAAGTACTAGTGAGCCATAGATTTCCTATGAAAACTCAATAGTAAAAACAATATATAGTAGCTCAAATTATTAACTTGTTTTTAACCAATAGGCTGTGATCTAAGTATCTGGAGCTCAACCAAAGCTATGCTTACACAGACAGGGTCTCTGCCTAATTCTTTGTTGATACGCAAATCACACCTGATAATTTGACTAAGCTTGAGTGCAGAATTACCCTTTAGTAATTGTTGTGCTAAGGATAAATATGTAATAATAAATAACACATGGC